AAGCCAAAGGCAGGAGCCCGGAGCTTCATCCGGGTCTCCCACGTGGGTGGCAGGGGCCTGAACAGGGGCCATGTTCCACTGCTTCTCCCACGCCATTCGCAGGCAGCTGGACCAATAGGGAGCAGCCGGGACTCAAACCAAAGCCCATGTGGCGTGAGGCTGCTGATTACCTGCTACGCCACAGCACCGGCACCCCTGTCTCAGATAAAATAGATAAATACAAATTTTAAAGGAGACAGAGGAGTGGGTGTTGAGAGGGATTCACAGGCAGCGCCTCCCACCTCTGTGTTACAGAAGGGGCAGGGGCCGGCTGGGAAGCCCACCTGCGCCCAGGCAAACTCCGCCTCGGGCTTGGAGGCCTGATGTTGTCACCCTCGGCCTGCTCAGCTGCAGCCCCGGCGGACTGAGGAAGAACACTGGCCCTTCCCCAGCCCCACGCCCGGCCCCTTCCCCACTTCCCCCCACAGGTCTGCCAGGTGGGGGAACTCCGCCGCCCACACCCACGCCCACAGCAGAGACAACAGAAACCAACCCCAGGGTTTTGAAATGAAGACAGCTGAAGGGCTCCTATCAGATCACCGAGCTCAATAACCTCCCCTCCCCTCCCCCCTCCCCCCCCTCCCTCTCCTCCCACCCCTCCCCTCTCCTCCCACCCCTCCCCCTCCCCTCCCCTTCTTCTGGTTTTTATCAGTGTTCGGGGGAGGCAGGGGAGTTTTTATTATTAAACTTTAATTACATGTTTCCAAATACTTTTCTTTCTTTTTAAAAATGGATTATTGATTTATTTGAAAGGCAGAGTGAAAAAGAGAGAGAGAGAGAGGTCTTCCATCTGCTGGTTCACTCCTCAGATGGCCACAAGGGCGGGGGTTGGGCCAGGCCGAAGCCAGGAGCTGGAGCTTCATCCGGGTCTCCCACATAGCTGGCAGGGGCCCAAGCACTTGTGCCATCTCTGCTGCCTTCCCAGGCGCATTAGCAGGGAGATGGATGGGAAGTGGAGCAGCCGGGACTCGAACCGGCACCCACATGGAATGCCGGCGCGGCAGGGGCAGCTTTACCCGCTCCGCTGCAGCGCCGCCCCCTTAAATACATTTTCTTATAAAAGACATAGACACACACAGGGTTAGCAAGTATGCACTGGCACCTGCTGTGTGCCAGGCCACAGTCACAGCCGTCACAGCCGGGAGCCAGGCTGATCCAGGGACACCCTTGCTCTGGGGGCCCCTCCTCCCACTCTGGGGAGACAGCAAACAAGGCACCAGTCTATAAAAATCATCAGACCTCAAGGACCACCAGGAAGAGAACGGAGAGGGAAGCGCTGCTTTGGGTTTTCAAGTGTAGCTTTGTTTTAAAACATGTCGCTTTATTGACTTCATTCATCTGAAAGGCAAAGACAGAGAGAGATGCACGCACTGATCTCACTCCTCAGGCCCGCAACAGCTGGGGATGGGCCAGGCCAAAGCCAGGAGGTGGGAACTCAGCTGAGTGTCCCGTGAGTGCCAGGGTGTGCATTAGCAGGAAGCTGCAGCGGGACTCGAACCCAGGCCCTCTGGTATGGGGCACGGGTTCCCTAACTGGTGAGGCCAAAGGCCCTGCCCTTCATTTAGCTTTTGTTTCTGTGTTGGTTTTTTAAGATTTGTTTTATTTAGTTGAAAGGCAGAGTGAGAGTGAGAGCGAGAGCGAGAGCGATCCTCTGTCTGCTGGGTCACCCCAGAAGGCCACAGCAGCCAAGAGCTGGGCCAGGCTGACGCCAAGAGCCAGGAGCTCCATCCGGGTCTCCCACGCGGGTGGCAGGGGCCAAGCACTTGGGCCGTCTTCCACTGCCTTTTCCAGGTGCACTAGCAGGGAGCTGGATTGGAAGTGGAGCAGCCAGGACTCATGATGCCAGAGTGCCAGGCAGAGGCTTAACCCGGGTCACCACAACGCCAGCCCCCATGTAGCTTTTAAATGAGTAATAAGCCCACTTGGTTCAAAACTCCAGAGTCCGGAGGCAGAGACGGCCTGTGCAGAGGCAGGACTGAACCCGTCACCTGGTGATAATCCAACTCCCCTCGCCACTGGCAGCCCGCAGTGGAATCAGGGACGGCTTCTCTGCACGGAGACACTGGGCACAGATCTTCCGAGGGTCCTGTATTTTTCGTACCCTACAACTCGGTGTTTTTAACCCCTAATACGCTGAAGACTTCTTCCATGAGGTCACTGACGTATCTCACTCTTGCAGTGCTGCCCAAGGTTCAGGCCAGGAAGTGCAAGGTCACCGTCCCCCCTGCCTGCCCGCCCTCACCGGGCCCTGGCGCGGCCTGTGAATCCCACGTCTCTCCTGCAGGGGTCTCCTTACCTGGAGCTCCTAGTGCTGTTTACACTTTTAAAGTGTATTTATTAAAGCCGTGGCTCGGCTCACTAGGCTAATCCTCCACCTAGCGGCGCCGGCAACCGGGTTCTAGTCCCGGTCGGGGCGCCGGATTCTGTCCCGGTTGCCCCTCTTCCAGGCCAGCTCTCTGCTGTGGCCAGGGAGTGCAGTGGAGGATGGCCCAAGTACTTGGGCCCTGCACCCCATGGGAGACCAGGGGAAGCACCTGGCTCCTGCCATCGGATCAGTGCAGTGCGCAGGTCGTAGCGCGCCGGCCGCGGCAGCCATTGGAGGGTGAACCAACGGCAAAAAAAGGAAGACCTTTCTCTCTGTCTCTCTCTCACTGTCCACTCTGCCTGTCAAAAAAAAAAAAAAATGTATCTGAAAGGGAGAAGTGAGAGAGGCAGACAGGAATCTTCCATCCACTGGTTCACTCCTCAAATGCCCACAAAGGCCAGGGCTGGGCCAGGCTAAGGCGGGAGCCAGAGCTCCATCTGGGTCTCCCACGTGGGTGGCCATCACCTGCTGCTCTCCAGGGCCACCGGCAGGGAGCTGCATGGGAAGTGGGGCTGCCCGGCACTGCAGGCAGCCCTTAGCCCACTGCGTCGCAGTGCTGGCCCCTGGCCCCTGCTTTGTACAGCACTTGAGCTCAGAGCCCTGTTTAGGGGGCTGGTGCTGCCGCGCAGCGGGTTAGGTCACAGGTTCAAGCCCCGGCTGCTCCACTTCAGATCCAGCTCCCTGCTAATGAGCTTGGGAAAGCAGCTCCTGCAGCCATGTGGGAGACCCGGAAGAAGCTCCTGGCTCCTGATCGGCCCAGCTCTGGCCTAGCTCTGGCCGTTGCGGCTCTAAGGGGCGTGAATCAGCAGATGGATCTCTGTCTCTCCCTCTCTCTGTGACTCTACCTTTCAAAATAAATAAATAAATCTTAAAAGAATGTATATTTGTAAAGGGTAAAGAAAATGCAAGCCCAGCCAGACCTTAGGTCTATATGTCCATTTGGAGTGTTCTAGACAAAGTTTGTGGGGCTGGCACTGTGGTCGCAGGTGCCGCCCGTGGCACTGGCATCCAATAGCGCCAGTTGGTGCAGCCTGTGGCGCCGGCACCCCCTATAGCGCCAGCTGCAGTCCCGGCTGCCCAGCTGCCTACTCCCTGCTGACGCACCTGGGGAAGGACGTGGGCCCTGCCATCGGTGAGGGAGACCCAAGTGGCGTCCCTGGGCCCTCGCTCCAGCACTAGGACCATGTGAGGAGTGTATAGCACATGGAAGTTTCTCTCTCTGCCTTTTACAGGAAAAGCCCCCCTCCTGTAGTGCAGCTGGCCCCCCAGAACTGTCACCCCTCCCATTTCACAGGTGGAAAATCGAGACGGAGGCCTTGCCCAAGGTCATGGAGAACTGAGGGCTGGGCTCGGGGAGGCCCAGAAATCGCGACACCCTCGCTGGACCGGGGTTCCAGGTCTCCCCGAGCGGGTGGCTCACGCAGGCCGGCGACTGGTCCCGGGACGAGGATCCCCCAGGTGCGGGGCACACGCGGCCGCACGCTGCGCCCCCCAGTTTTGGGGTTCTACTCCCCGTGCCTCGGCTTTCGGGGTTCTGGGGGCTCGGACAAGAGGACCCCCACCAGACTTACCCCCGATCCGAGCCTGGGCTCACCCACTCGGAAAGTCCGGGCTGCGACTTCCCGGGGCCCGCACCTTACCCCGGGCCAGGTGGCTCGGGGCGGGAGGGGGCGTGGCGCGTGACGTCACGGGGCGGGGCCGCTGCGGAAGCGGGGGGGGGAGGGTCGGTGCTCCTCGGGGCCGGCGTGTGGGGGAGGGTCCCCCGGCCGCGGGCCCACCCGACCGCTGGGATCACGCCGTCCTCCGTGGGAGGCCCCACCGGGGCGCGCCTCGGGCCGGGGTCCCACCCCCACCCTGCCCTCGGGCCAATCCCCGCCCCCACCCCGACCCCGCGGCCGTGAGTCAGCGGCCGGCCGCGCCCCCTCGGCCCACTTCCTCCTCACCTTCCCGGGCCGGCGGGGGGCAGGGAGACGGGTGGGGCCCCGCGCGGGGGAGGGGGCTCGCCCCTCCGGGACCCCTCGTCAGTCTGCGGAGGAGGGGGACGCAGTGTGTGTGTGTCTGTCAGTGGTGGCAGGGGGCGTCCGAGTGGGGGGATTTAAAGGGGAAGTTTGGGCACCTCCCCGTGTTCTCCCCCTGAAGTCCAGCAGGACGTTGGGAATGGACGCGTCGGTGGGCGCCGACGAGACACCCCGAGACCCCCGTGGCGGGAGGGCGCTGGGGTCGCGGAGGGCGCCCTTCCCTGCACCCCCACCCCAGCGGGCTCGCCCTCTCCTTCCGCGGGCTCGGGGGTGACGCCCAGGGTGCAGCCCCCGCGCAGGGCCGCCGCGGACAGCGAGATTGGGGAAGTGCGGGGCTCGCGCGCGGCCCTTTCCGGCGCCCGCTGCCGCCGCCCCCCGCCCGCGGGCGCCGCGGCCCCTTTAAGGCGCGGGGCATTGTGGGAGCGGGGAGTGGAATTTTGGAAGGAAATGTAGCGAAGAGAAGTACAGTAGTAAGAGTGAGGTGGTGGCGGCCGCCGGCCGAGGGGGCGCGCCGGGGACGCACGCCGCACCCCCCCGCACCGAGCCCCCAGGCGGAGGCGGCGCCCGAGAAGCCCGCCCCGGCCCGGCGCCCGTTTCCCCCCAGGAAGCCGGACTCTATGGGGCGGGACCCCGGGGGACACTGAGCGGAACCCGGCGCCGGCCGCGAACCCCCGCAGCTCGAGCCAGGGGCGCCCCGGGAGCGCCGAGCCCGCGGGCGCGCCGCCGCCCGCCCCGCAGCCATGAGGTGAGCCCCGCGCGGCCTCCGGACCCCTCCCCGCCGGCCACGCCTTTGTCCCCCTCCCCCCGCTCGGCCCGGGCTGGACTTCGGGGACCCGCGCCCTGGGGGGGGGGCTCGGGTCTGGGCCGAATCGTCTCGGACGAGCTCGGAGCAGCGGCCGCCTCCCCGTGACCCGCGAGCCCCGGGGTGGGCGCGGGCAGGTTCTCCTGGGAGCCTTCAGGTTTGGGGGCGCTCGGCAGACTCCCGAATTTTTTTAGAGACTTTTTCTGAGGACCTCCAAGTTGGCAGAGACTCCTCGCGGGGATGCCGGGGTGCAGGCGGCGCTCAGGACCCGCCCAGACCGCACCTGGGGGGCCCTGGAGGGGTGGCTGGGGGCCGTTCGGGGAGACCTGGGACCTGGAGCGGACGCTGAGACGCGGATCCTGATTGGGAGGGTCCCCCGTTCCAAGTCTCCCCAAGTGGGGCGGGCCGCGCACCTAACTTCGGGGTGCCGCTAACCCCCTAAATCCGGGGGTGCGCTGGGATCCTCCCCGGGGTGCGCGGACCCTCGGGCCGGGCGCAGCCTCGCGGGGCTGCTCGGGGCTCCCCTCCCCCGTCGCTCCACCGCGCATGCTGTGCAGGAGCCAGCCGTGCCTAGGACGGGGCGAGCGCTCGCCGCTCGGTGCCCAGGGCGGCTCCCGGCGCCGGGCCAGCAGGGCGGCCCCGGTCCCCACCTGCGCGGCCCCGGGCGGGAGGGGGCGCGGCAGCTGGGGGGAGGGGGCCTTTGTCTTCCTGACTCACCTGTCGAGACAGCTGGTGTGGGGGGGCGGGCTCGCCCCGCCGCGGCCCCTCCCCCCGGCGCTCGGGAGCCGTGGGATTGGAGGAAGGGGCGCGGGGGAAGCGTCAAGGTCACAGCCTTCGCCCCTGGGACCCAGGCCTCCCGAGAGTTCGGCGCTCTTCCCGGAATTTAATCCTGGGGGGGAGCGGCCCGAGGACCTGCCCTGGACTCCTGGGCTCACCTGAAGGCCGGGCCGGTGCGGGCTGGGGGGGTACCCACGGCGGCCCTCCCCGCTCCCCGCTCAGGTCCCCCATAACCTCTCCCGTGGGGCTGGAGTCTGACAATACTATCTCCCTTCCTCCACTCTCTCTGGGACTTCCTGCCCCGAAGCCTCAGCGCTGGGGGTGGGGGGGCTCCTGGGGACGGCTGGGGATTAACCCCCTGGTGCCCAACGTCCTGCCCTTCCCCCCAGGCCCCCACACCCCTGCCCTCTGACCTCAGGGTGGCATTCCTTTCTTGGGACCATTAAAGACCCCCTACCACCCGCCCCAGGGCTGTCTTTCTGCTAAAGGCTGGGTGGAAATTCTGGGGCGAGGGGGCATCCCCAGACACCCTCGGGACTTCCTGCCGGTTCCTTCCCCATTGCGGGGCAACATCCCTTCTGGGCCTGCCCCAGGGGCTGCCTGCTTCCCTCACCCTCTCCCCCCTCCCCCGGGACTCCGCCCCTCCCCCCCAGCGTTTCCGGTCCCAGGCCCCGTGGAAGGCGGATGGCGGATGTCCGAGGTAGGGCCGCCCCGCTCGCTGTGAGACCGACCGTAAAAGGGCAGAAGCAGTGTCTGGCCCAGCCCCCTGCCCCCGCCACCCCCAGCCCTGGCCCTCTCCCAGGGCCCCCTCCCGCTGTGGCTGTGGCCGTGGTGGGGCCTCCTACCTCCTGGGGGATGGCAGGAGTCCGACCCTGGCCTGTCCCACCAGAGGGTCTCCCCTGCTCGCTTACAGCCGACTTCCTCTCCGACGGTCCACGCCCCCAATCCCGGCCAAGGAGCCGGATCCTGCAGAAATTCCCAGGCCAGGGCGCCCCGGGGCAGGAGGCTGGGAGGGTCGGATTGCTGGCCACGGCTTGGCCGGGGGCAGCTCAGCTGGAAGGGATGGAAAATCACAAGACCAGTTCTTTCTCTCCTCTGACAAATATTTGTTGAGTGGGACCCGGCGCTGGGATCCTGGGGGAGGTGGAGAAGGGGCGGGAGCCGCTGGGAAGAGGGGCTGTGCCTTAGCGGGGTAGCAGCTATAACTGCTCTTACTCGAGAGGCGACGGGAGACCAGCTGGTGAGCACCTGCCCGGTGTGGCCAGCCTGTCCCGGCTCCGAGCCGGCGTCCTGGCACAGTTTCAAGAGGCGGAAGCTGTTACAGCCTTGTAGTCACCCCTGCCCCCAGTTTGCAGCCGGCCGACCTCTCAGGCTGTCGCAGAGAGAGGACAGTACAGAGAAAGTGCGGATGACGCGTTTTCCTTGCACAGACACTCGGGATGGTCCAGAGGTGTGGTGGGGGCCCGCCTGGGAAGCCTCGCCTGCCGACTTCCCGGTGGGAGACAGGCCGCACAACCCCCAGAGACCCCCGGGCTGGGGGGCTGGGGCCGGGGCCGGGGCTCCAGGTCGCGGGGCTCTGGCCTGGAAGGATTTGTGTGATTGTGGTGTCTGAGCGGGTGACCCCCAGAGGCGACTCATGGGCAGGGGGACCGAGGCGCTCACTGACAGACCCCAGGGGACCACTGGCGTCCCTCTCCCTGGCTTCCTGCCTGTGGGGTTTCCCGTCCGGCTTTTGCTGAGTTTATTTATTTTTTCCCAAACGTAATCAAGTAAGGAATTAGGTCTCCACAGGTCATCCCAGCCCCATCATTTAGCAAAAGGAAGAGTGAAGCGAGGGCCCCGTGCCCACGGCCCCCAGCCCCCAGCCTGCCTCTGCCTCCCGCAACAGCGTGTGACGCTGTTAGCAGCCTCCACACTTTTGGGGGAAAGACAGACTCTTGAGCCACCCAGCCTTTTCCTCATCTTTCCGTGAGGTTAAAACGTAAGTGGGCTTGGAGTAAGTGGGCTCGCGTCTTCAATGAGATCAGACAGGAGCCCCGGTGCTTTCGTGCAGTGTGACCTGGGCCAAGTGTCTTCACCTCTCTGTGCCCGGGCAGGCAGCTGGGTTGGTCTCCTGAGGCTGCGGGGTCGTGGGAGCCGGGAGCGCGGTCTGGGCCGCCAGCCACTGTGCCGCCGGGTTTGCCTTTTTACTCGGATGTGTTCAGAGCGTGTGCTGGGCGCCCTCCAGGTTCCGGGGACGCAGAGGGGCGAGTATCCCTGCCCCGCTGGACCTGGTGCTTTGGCAGGGCAGACAGGCGCGTGCCAAGCAGGGACGCTGCTGGAAACCGTGTCGCGGGGAAGCTGGAGGAAGATGAGGTGGCCAGGGAGGGCTTCTGGGAAGAGGTGACGTCTGAAGGGGGCTGCACCTGCACAGGGCTCGGGCAGGCCTTGGTCAGTGGGCGCTGGGAGAGGAGACCGGAGAGCAGGCAGGGCACCCAGGCCGGCGGGAACCTGGTGTGGATCCTGCAGAGTGGGGCATGGTGCTGCCCCTCTTCTGGGTCTCAGCCGGATCCCTGTGCTCTCACCGGGCAGGAGTCGGAGCCGCCCAGGGTCGCCCAGCAGGTGCCTGGCCCCGAGGCCAGGCCAGAGCCTCAGCAGGGCAGGGCCAGCTGGGAGCCCAAAGTACAGCCAGGGTGGGGCAGTGGCCCCGGGCGCCGGGCCAGAGCCTGCCCTGGGTGTGGGTGGCAGGTGTGGGCGCGGCCTTAGCCCTACCTGCCCTGCCGGGGGCAGTGGGAACCAGAAACAGCCCTGGAGGCCTGCTTCTCTGGCTTGCACCTGGTGTTTGGGCAGGGCCGGCGCAGTCCCCGGGGGGCAAGACTGCGGACCTGGGTTCGAATCCTGCCCCGGCCGCTGCTTTAGCAGTGTGTGTGGGGGCGCATCCTGGCCCTGGTCGCCTCTGAGCCGAGGGGGAGGTCATGTCCGCCCCAGGACTGCCGTGAGGGTGCCAGGCTGGGCCGTGTCAGTGGTCAGTGTCACACCCCAGGGTGCCAGGCTGGGCCGTGTCAGTGGTCAGTGTCACACCCTAGCACCCGCCCGGTGGAGACAGAGCCTCTGTGGGTGTCATTCCCCGCCCCCCCAGCCACCAACTTCCTCTTTTCAGGAAAAACCCACGGTGGGGGGCACCCAGCCGAGGCCGGCGCTTCCCCCTGGGCTGTGCGACCTTGGGCGAGTCACTTCCCCTGGGGGAGCCTGGGGTTCCTCATTGGGGGAGGGGGGCTCCGACCTCCCAGGAGCGGTGGGAGGTCCCCGGCCGGCCGCAGGGTGACCGCAGCACGGAAGCCGAGGCCGACCGGGCACCCAGCCCTCATTTCCCGTGTGCAGGCTCCGGCCTCGGGGCTCTGCAGGGACTTGAATCCACGCCTGCGGACGGCAGACTGGAACTCTGACCCCCTCCTGCAGAGTGGGCAGCAGGCCCCGTGTCCTCCACGCCTGTAGCCTGGGCGGCTCCTTGGTCCAAGCCCTGGGCATCACGGCCTAGGGACCCGTGTCTTGAGGCACTGGACTGTGAGCCCTGGGAGGGTGTGGCCAGGGCCATCTGGGCCACTGCTGTGTCATTGTCCCCAGTGGCACCCAACACAGGCCCGTAGTGCCCAGGGGAGCCGGAAGGATGCAGTGGGGGCCCGGCACCCCCTTGCAGTGGAGAGCAGGGGTCTGTGCTGTCCCCGGCCGGCCACAGGCCTCCCCTCCCCCTCCCCGACCTCAGCTTCCTCTTCTGCTCTGAGCAGCAGGGGGGCATCCAAAACTTGGCAGAGAGGGAAACTGAGGTAGGGCTGGCCCCAGAGCAGCTCAGGGCACCTTCCTCCCTCCCCTGCGTCTCCATGTCTCCTCTTCCTGTTTCTCCCCATCCATCTCACACCCCCCAGGGCGCACTGGTCTCAGCTGCCCCCCGTCCAGCATCTTCTCTGCCTGGGTCTCCTGGGGGGGGGGGGGCTGTGTCACGCCCTCTCCCCCTCGCGGCGTCTCCCAGGGAGACCCTGGTGGTGAGGGTGACCCCGCCTCCCCTGCCCCTGGTGGTGAGGGTGACCCCGCCTCCCCTGCCCCTGGTGGCGAGGGTGACCCCGCCTCCCCTGCCCCGGTGGTGAGGATGACCCCGCCTCCCCTGCCCCTGGTGGCGAGGGTGACCCCGCCTCCCCTGCCCCTCCCGCAGCGAGATGGTCGTGTGCACCAGCCGGGCCAAGGTGATGCTTTACGATGACGGCAACAAGCAATGGCTCCCCGCGGGCACGGGGCCCCAGGCCTTCAGCCGCGTGCAGATCTACCACAACCCCACGGCCAATTCCTTCCGGGTCGTGGGCCGCAAGATGCAGCCGGACCAGCAGGTGTGCGCCCCCCCCATCCCCCCCCCACACTGGGGCCGCCCCCGGGCCACCGCCCTCACCCCGCTTTCGCCTGCCTCCAGGTGGTCATCAACTGTGCCATCGTCCGGGGCATCAAGTACAATCAGGCCACCCCCAACTTCCACCAGTGGCGCGACGCCCGCCAGGTCTGGGGCCTCAACTTCGGCAGCAAGGAGGACGCGGCGCAGTTCGCCGCCGGCATGGCCGAGGCCCTAGAGGCCTTGGAAGGTGGGTGCCGGCCGCCGGCTGGGGCCTCGGGTTACCCATCTCGAAAATGGAGCCGCTCGGTCGCTACTGTGGGACATCACAGGGCTCCTGTGTGGACTCCGGAGGACGCAGCCTGGTCCCAGCCCCCAGGAGCCCCCGCAGCCCGTGCTGGCTTCTGTCACCAGCCCCGGCGTTAGGAAAGCCTCCAGGCCTGCTCTCCCAGGGCTCACCTGGGGAATGTGGGTGGGGCCCGAGACTGCACAGCTCACAGCCCCCTGCGATGCCAGGGCTGCCAGCCCTGGACCTGAGGTCAGCCGCTGACCTCCGCTGCCCGCCCCGCCTCTGGGGTGTGGCATAGCCACTGTGGAACCGAAACTGCCCACACACAGAGGTGGTTGCGACTCCGGGCCCCCTGGCCGCCCGGGGCTGGGCAGGACCGAGGGAGGCAAGGGGGAGGGGTCCACCTGGACTCGGCTTCCCCACTGTCCCCGGGCGTCCTGGCCGCCCCGGCAGGGGGAGTGGTGTCGCCCCTGCCCAGGGTCTGGGGGAGGAAGGAAGTGAGTGCCCCTGGGTGGGATTCCTGAGCCGGGTGGGGAGGCCACAGGCAAGGCTGACCCCGGCTCTGTCTCCCCTGCCACCCCCAGGAGGTGGGCCTCCGCCGCCCCCAGCACCTGCCGCGTGGGCCAGCCAGAACGGCCCCTCCCCGGAAGAGGTGGAGCAGCACAAAAGGTAGGGCTGGCCCCTTGGCTGGGGCCCTTACTGCCAGATTCTAGATGTCCCAGCATCCTCCGACGTCCAGTTTCCAGAATGTTCCAGCTCCCCAGGGACTAGGAGTTGCCCGCTTTTGGGAGCCCCCACCTCTGAGACTTTAAGAAAATCCCTGGCGCTCAGAGACGCAGGACCCCCAGTCCCCAAACCCTCGTCCTGAGAGGACCCCGGGTGTCGGTGACAGTCTAGAACATTCCCGCGCCACCCCTTGGGCCCTGCGGAGGGGCCGGGGCGGTGGTGACCGCAGTCCCTCCCACAGGCAGCAGCCGGAGCAGATGGAGCGCCGCGTGTGCAACGCAGGTAACTGGGCTTGCGGGGGTGGGGGGCGGGCCGGACCAGAGCCCCCCCTGGAGGAGGGGCTGGCTCCTCTCTGAGCCACCCCTGCTCTGCCTTGTTTCAGGAGGCCCGCCTGCTCCCCCAGCCGGGGGCCCACCCCCGCCTCCAGGACCGCCCCCTCCGCCGGGTCCCCCCCCACCCCCAGGGCTGCCCCCGGCAGGGGGGGGCCCACCCCCTGCACCCCCTCTCCCCACAGCCCAGGGCCCCAGTGGTGGGGGGACTGGAGCCCCCGGCCTGGCCGCAGCCATTGCTGGAGCCAAACTCAGGAAAGTCAGCAAGGTGAGGGGCCCGCGGGGCGGGGTGGGGGCTGGCCCTGAGGTAACAATGGGCTGGGGGCTGCCTGTCACGGGAGGCCCACCCGCAAGCCCTCTGCTCCCTTTTACCTTCCTCAGCAAGAGGAAGTCTCAGGGGGGCCCCCGGGCCCCAAAGCTGAGAGTGGCCGGAGCACAGGCGGGGGGCTCATGGAGGAGATGAACGCCATGTTGGCCCGGAGGTGAGCCTGGGCCCACCCCCCTGCCTGGGACCCCAGCCCTGCAGGCTGGCGGGGGGGCGGGGGCGGGGGGCGGGCTCTGGTTCCTGTTCACTGCTTGTGCTGAAAGCCCTACCTGTGGCGCCTGCGGAATGTTCTAGAAACTGACTCCTAGAATTTTAGTTCCCAGAGTCCCTTCCCCCCTTAGGACGTTAGGGTTCCAGATGTGAGGCCCACAGGAAGACCCCCCCCATCCCAGCTTCCTTAGCCTTGGCCGTGCAGCCCCCCCACACACACACACAAGGGCCACTTTCTAGAACCCTGGGCCCGCAGCTGCGAGTGGGGGGGCTGAGGCTTCTCTTCTCGTCCCTCCCTCCCGCAGGAGGAAAGCCTCGCAGGTTGGCGAGAAGCCCCCCAAGGACGAATCTGCCAGTGTGAGTGAGGGGGAATCTGCCAGTGTGAGTGAGGGGGAATCTGCCAGTGTGAGTGAGGGGCTCGGTGGGGTCCCGGGGCAGCGTGGCGGGGCTGCTCATGACGGTTTCATTTCCTGCCAGCAGGAGGAGCCAGAGGCCCGCGTCCCCGTCCACAGCGGTGAGTGCCGGGCGGCCCGGGGGAGGGGCCGGCCTCTCCTGGGGGTTTCTCTGCAGAGGGGCTGCTGGCTGGGGGAGGAATCCTTAGCCCTGACCTTGCGGTTTGTTGCCTGCTCCCCAGAATCTGTGCGGAGGCCCTGGGAGAAGAACAGCACGACCTTGCCCAGGTGGGCCGGCGGGCGCGGCGGGCGCGGGGGGCGCGGCGCCTCGGCGGGTGGCAGGGCCTCTGACTTCGCTTCTGTCCCCCCCAGGATGAAGTCCTCGTCTTCGGTGGCCACCCCCGAGGCCCACCCCTCCCACCACAGCTCCGGTGACGACTCGGACCTGGAGCGGGTGAAACAGGTAGGGGCGGAAGGTGCAGGTGGGGGCCTAGCCAGGGCCCACGGCAGGAGGGGCGCTGGGTCCAGACCCTGGGTGTCCGGTGTGAGAAGGGGGAGCCATCGGCGGGGTCAGGGATGACGCAGGTGCCGCACCCCTTTCAACGGCTGTGACAGGCCTTATAATCCATCACCACACTCCTTTCCGATGAGCACCTGAGACCCCGCCGGAGCTGGCAGGAGGCTGGGAGGCGTTTGCCAGCCTGTGTCCTGGATGCCCTCCAGTTCTCTCTGTGACCTTGGCAGGGAGGGCGGGGCCGGGCGGTCTCCAGCCCGCTTCCTCCGACTCTCAGCGAGTGGGAGACAGGGGGCTTCCTGCCGCTCCGGGCCCCGCCCACTGGTGAACCCTGTGGTTCCAGGAGCTGCTGGAGGAGGTGAGGAAGGAGCTGCGGAAGGTGAAAGAGGAGATCATCGAAGGTGAGGCGCCTGCCCGCGCCCCGTGAGGCGCCTGCGTGGTTTGGAGGCCGCCCGTCTTTTGGGAAGATTGGAACGGAAGGGGAAAGAGCCCCTGCCCTGAGCTTTGCCCCCTCTTTCCTTCCAGCCTTTGTCCAGGAGCTGAGGAAGCGGGGCTCCCCCTGACCGCAGGGGCCCAGGACGGCCCACTTCTTTCCGCACACCCCGCCTGTTACCCTGCTTCCCCGCCTCGACTCCACGTGGAATTGGCTGAAGACTACACGGGAATGCATCTCCCCCTGCCCCCTCCCACTTGGAAGATTCCAAGGGGGTGTGGCTTCCCTGCACCGTGCCCACACCCGTACTGGCTGCTGATTGGCTGGGGAGGCCCCCACCCTTTGCTCCCTTTGGTCCTTCCCCTCTGCCATCCCCTTGGGGCTGGTTCCTCTGCTGGGGATGTACCATTAACCCCACAGTAAGGGGGAAGGGAAGAGGGAATTCACATTCCCTTGTTTAGATTCACTTTAACGCTTAATGCCTTCGAAGTTTTGTTTTTTAAGAAGTATATAAATATATATATATTTGGGTTTTGGGGGGGGAAGGGTACTTTTTTTTGCCTCTTTGGTTTTGATAACATGGGGTGTGGGGGTTTTTAATGCTGTGGCCCTCGGCGTGCCCTGGTTGGGGCAGCTGCCGGGGGACGTCCTGTCGGGCTGGGGGTGCCGCCCCCACCCCGGGGACTTCCCTCCCTCTGGCTCCTTCCCCTTTTCTATGAGGAATTAAGATGCTGTAACTTTTTGGAACCTCAGTTTTTTGGTTTTGTATTTGGGTAGGTGGGGCCCTGGCCATTTTCACCCACCTTGGGAAGATGAGGGCAAAACAGGGGGGAGGCGGCCTCTGCCCCCACCTCCCCCTCAGCCTCGTAAAATGGGCCCCCGTGGAATAAATCTGCCGGTTTTTACAAATGCTAAACTCTCTGGGTGATTGGCAGGGCCGCTGTGAGGGGCCGGAGGCCGGCTCCGCCCTCCGTGCCTCTCCCTCACGCACGGATGGACGGACGCTGGGTTCTCTGCTGGAACCCCTCGTGGTCCCTGGCCAGGCCGCTCCCCTGCCCCGTCCCCTTCATGCCGGAGACAGCCAGGGCAGGTCCCTGGGTCCATGCAGGGCTGCGGTTTCCCCACTGGGCAAAGGCTCCGGGGTCAACCCTGTCCCCGCTCCCCCAGAGTTCCCCGACACCCGACCCATTCTGCAGGTGGACGCCACCGTCTCAGACATGTTCCCAAGATGACCTGTTTCCCCGGAGCTGCTTTAATGACGGACACAGAGTCTAGCAAGGCAGTTCAGAGGTCCCAGAGCTCACGCGCGCCCCAGTGGGGAGGCAGGACTGTCCGTCCGGGTGACGGGTGGGCGGGCTCCCTGGAGGGGCCTTGGCAGGAAGGGTGACCTCTGAGAGCTCCGAGGAGCAGACTTGGTGGGAGGTGGGATGTGACTGACAGGTGGGGGAGCTGGAAGAGTGAGGAGGAAGGGCGGGGTCAGCTCGGGGTCTGGGGCAGGTAACGGGGCTGGGCTGAGAGCAGAGGGGTTCAGAGCGGTTCTCCCTGGGGTCCTGCATCACCCCAACCGTCGGGGGAGATGTGTTTGGGAGATGAGGCAGTGGCCAGGCCAGAGGGTGGTGCTGTGCGCCCTCCGCTCTGGGAGGGGAGAAGCCAGGTGAAGGCACCGTCGGGGGGGGGGGGGTTACAGGTGGGGGCCGGAGGGTGACTGGCGGGGCAAGCGCAGTGCAAGGTCACCCCACCCGCGAGAAGAGAGGTAGATGGACGCGCTGGTGGAGTCCCCCGGAACTTCCAGCATGGTTTCAACCCCCCCCCCACAGTGGTCTACCAACGAAGAGGTGGGGGGCTCCCCTGAGACATAACGAGGTGTGACAGAAGTTGGCCAAATCCCTGTACAGGACCCAATTTGTTTTGCCAAAAAGAAGGATGTCCTGTGGGCCGCTTAGTGGTGAGTGGCTGGCTGGCTGGGGGCCCACAGAAGACACGGCGGGCCCTGGGCGCTGGTGCATCGCAACTCCCTGGAGGCCCAGGGCAGGGTGCCACAGAGCGGGGCAGGATGGAGGTGACCAGCTGCCCAGTGGGGTGAGTCCCCGCCCAGGATCCTTTCTCACCCCAAAGGACCAGGTGGTGCCAGCCCCGCCGGTTTGGGATGGGACACAGGGCAGAGAGCAGCTGCCTCCGAGACCAGGGCCCCGCGGCCGCCTACTCCTGGGGGGCGGGCTGCAGGTCGGCGGCGCAGAGCTGGGCGCGCACCTCCTGCACCTGCGCGCGCAGCTCCTCCAGCGCGCTCTGCGGCGGCACCGCCTGCACCTGCGCCTGCAGCGCCTCCAGCGCCAGCGCCAGGTGGCCCACCTCGTTCCGCAGCGCGTCCCAGGCCGCCAGCCGCTCGACTTTGTTGCGGCGCCGCTGCGCCTGCTGGCGCCAGTACTCCAGCAGCAGGCAGCTGCAGGCCACGATGAAGATGGTGGCCTCGCCCAGCAGCTCGGCGCCCAGCTCGGCGGCCGCCTCCTCGTTCAGCGGCTTCACGGCCTCGGCCTTGAAGCCCATGACGCTCATCTTGGTCCGCATCTCCACCCAGTGGTACACTGCGGAGGGAGACAGCGGTCAGGGACCCGACGGGACAGCCGCCCCTCGGGGTGCGGGGCAGAGCCCGGGGGAGGGCGGCCAGGACCGCTGGCATCGGGCCCTGGATACTGAGCTTAGGGGCTGCCTCCCAGAGTGGCCGTGGGACGGAGCGGAACCTGACCTCCCGCCACCTTTGCTGCCCGTGTGCCAACGCAGGGGCCCCTCCTCCGCGGCACCCCGCCCTGTCTCTTCAGGTCACTAGTGCCATCCGTCACCCATCTCCCTTCCGTCCCCTCCCCAGTTTACACGCGACTTCTGCTTTACGTCCAGCTGCTTGCGGCCGACCGCTGGGATTCTGGCTGCCAGGGTGATGGCTCCGGTCCTGACCCCTGCACCTGGGAGCCGGCGCACTGCCCGCCCCTGCCCTTGTCTTCACGTTATCCAAGCGTCCTGGGCTTCGGGGACCGAGGCATCCACCAGGGAGAACACCGAGGGCGGCGACGTCATGGTTCTCTACGCCGCCCAGCAGGTGCCCCGCCAGGACGCGCTCCACACCACCCAGTGCCTTTCCTTGCATTTTGACCCTGATTCACTACATGAAGTTTCTCCTAGAGCGGCCAGTGAGACCCACAAACGCCTCACTCCCTGTGGGGCTGAGGTCCTCCTGCATTGCCCATTATCCGGCCGCACCACGTCTCCACGCTGCTGCTCCTCCTGGGGACCCCGTGTGCCCCTCTTTGTGGAAGTCCCTTCTGGTTGGTTCAGCTGACGCGTGCCCTGAAGTAGCTTTCTCAGAAGAGGTGCTCGGGCAGTAAGTGCCTTCACTCCTTGAACGTGTACAGTGTCTTGTGCCGTGTGTACGTGTGACTGGATGATGGTTTCCAGACTGACAGGGGCCCTGCGCTGGTGGGTGGGCCCTCTGTCCCTCATCTGGACCTGGGAAGGCCCCTGCAGTGCCTGTGCCTGTGCCCGCAGCCCCCCAGTGGCCAGCAGTGTTACAGTCTTTGTCTACCTGGGGCCTTGGGCCACACAAACAGCTGATGCTGGGAGTGGACTTGAATGTGGGGGGCTGTGGTCAGCCTGGTGGGCAGGACTCAGCCCCGTTAAGAACCTAGGGGAGCCCCTCTGGTTGGCTCGACTCTGTGCAGCTGTCACTCTTCCTAGTGGGCAGAGTTAGCACTTCTGCGCTGGCTGTTGCTTCCTTCACTGTAATAAACCACAATCCTGGTGTGACGACCCTGCGGGGCTCTTCAGTCCTTCTAGGGAATTCTCGAGCCCAAGGGTGTGACCTTGTCTTAGCCACGCCTCCTCTCCGGTCTCTTCCGCCCTGAGAAGCCCCTCCCAGGCTGGAACGCCCTGAGGCCCCTGGGTCTCCATCCTTTCCCACGATTCTCCATCCACAGGCTGGGAGGGTTTTTTGGTTTTGTTTGAATTAAGATTTGTTTATTTATTTGAAAGGCAGTTACAGCACATGCCCACACAGACACGAAACAGAGAGAGAGAGAGAGAGAGAGAGAGAGACTGTCTATCTACTGGTTCCATCCACTGGTTCACTCCCTAAATGGCTGCGACAGCCAGGGCTGGGCCAGGCTGAAGCCAGGAGCTCCATCCGGGTCTCCCACGTGGGTGCAGGGGCCCCAGCACTTGGGCCATCTTCCGCTGCTTTCCCAGGTGCATCAGCAGGGAGCTGGATTGGAAGTGCAGCAGCCAGGACTCGAATCATTGCCCATTTGGGATGGTGGCGCCACAGTGCCAGCCCCATGAGGGCCCTTTGTAAACCACAGATCTGACCTTGACCTTCCCGGGTCAGCGACATCCAAGTGCCAGACACCCCCCCGCCCACTCCAGGCAGGCCCCTGAGCATCTGCGGACCTCACGCAGGAGCCTTGCAGGCCAGCTCCGTCCCTCCCCGGGGGCGTCCACACTGCGGGCGCCAGTCTGCCTTCGGGGGCAGGGGCATGGTGATCCCCGGGACTGGCTTCGCAGTAAGTTTCCCGCTCCGGGGAGGCCACTGAGGGAGCTGGACTTGTGCAGGTGGATGTGGCCACCTCCACCTGGCATCACACTCCGGGACTTCCGGAGCAGTGAGGTTGTGCCGGGGACGCACGTGCAGAGGCCCTGGGAGGCCTTTACGGACACGCCCACCCTTGTTGGCCGCCCTTGTCTCTTCTGTCCGTCACGCAGCCCCTGTGCCTTCCCGACACTCTATGCTGTCCACTGCGGAACACGGACGCAGGGCTCGCTGATCCCGGCTCCCCCCGCTGTACTGACCCCCCCCGGAAAGCCCTTCTGGTTTGTGCAGTCTCTGGGTTTGCGCTGATTGACAGAGCAGGCCCAGGGCTCCCATCTCCTGGTTCTGTCCTCAGATGTCCCCAGTGGCTGAGGGACCCAAAGTCCATCCAGGGGCCGGTGCTGTGGCACAGTCTGTGACGCCCGCGTCCCGTATCCGAGCACTGGTTCCGATCCAGGCTCCTCTTCCAGCTCTCTGCCATGCCCCGGGAAAGCAGTGGAGGATGGCCCAAGTGCTGGGGCTCCTGCAGCCACCTGGGAGACCCGGAAGAAGCCCCTGGCTCCTGCCTCTGGCGTGGCCCAGATCTGGCCGTTGTTGTCATCTGGGGAGTGAACCAGGGGATGGAAGACTTCTCTCACTTTCTCTCTCTTTCCTTCTCTCTCTCTCTGTCTTTCAAGTAAATAAATAAATGTTAAAAAAAAAAAAAAGTTGGAAGCTGGAATGAGCAGTGGAGTCAGAACTCAGTCTTGACACGGTGACACGGCGTGGTCGTCCCATTTGTCTAAAACCGCACGGGATTTTTTTTTTTTTTATCTCCTTTAGTGACTTAGACGAATTCTCTGTCCTTGCAAAGTCCTTGTCAGTTTTGGATGCCATGGTGAGGTGGCTTCCAGGATGGGGTGGTTGCTACTCTAAAATATCCTTTTATTATTATTTTGTAACAAATGGGTTTTTAAAAAACTATTTATGTTGCTTTTTTTTTTTTTTTTTTTTTTGACAGGCAGAGTGGACAGTGAGAGAGAGAGACAGAGAGAAAGGTCTTCCTTCCGTTGGTTCACCCCCCCAAATGGCCACTACAGCCGGCGCACTGTGCCGATCCGAAGCCAGGAGCCAGGTGCTTCTCCTGGTCTCCCATGTGGGTGCAGGGCCCAAGCACCTGGGCCATCCTCCACTGCACTCCCTGGCCACAGCAGAGAGCTGGCCTGGAAGAGGGGCAACCAGGACTAGAACCCAGAGTACCGGCGCCACAGGTGGAGGATTAGCCAAGTGAGCCGCGGCGCCGGCCTATGTTGCTGATTTTTGTAACCTCTTCAGGAAGGATTTATAGTGTGAGATAAAAGGGAAATCATGGAGCCGGCGCTGTGGCAGAGCAGGTAAAGCCACCGCCTGCAGTGCCTGCATCCCATATGGGTGCTGGTTCGAGTCCCAGCTGCTCCACTTCCGATCCAGCTCTCTGCTGTGGCCTGGGAAAGCAGTAGAAGATGGCCGAAGTCCTTGGGCCCCTGCACCCACATGGGAGACCCGGAAGAAGCTCCTGGCTCCTGGCTTCAGATCAGCTCAGGTCTGGCCGTTGAGGCCAACTGGGGAGTGAACCAGCAGATGGAAGACCTCTCTCGCTCTTGCTCTCGCGCTCGCTCTCTCTCTCTCTCTCTCTCTCTCTCTCTCTCCCTGCCTCTCCTTCTCTCTGTGTGCATCTCTGGCTTTCAAGTAAATAATATTTCAAAAAGAGTAAATCATGATGCAAGCAGCACTGAGAGAGCTTTCCTTTTTCTTACATTTATTTATTTATTTGAAAGAATCACAGAGAGGAGGAGAGACAGAGACTGTTCCACCCGCTGGTTCAGTCCTCAAACAGCTGCGACAGCCAGGACTGGGCCAGGCAGAAGTCAGGAGCCCAAGCACTCGGGCCATCGTCTGCTGCTTTTCCAGGCTCATTAGCAGGGAGCTGGATGGGAAGTGGGGCTGCCAGGGCTTGAACCAGTGCTCATATGGGATGTGCAGGCGCAGGCGGCAGCTTAACCCGCTAGGCCACAGCACCAGCCTCCTTATATGCTCTTGTTGTTTTTGTTTGTTTGTTTTAAGATTTATTTATTTATTTGAAAGTCAGAGTTACACAGAGAGAAGCAGAGGCGGGGGGGGGGGTGTCTTCCCTCTGCTGGTTCACTTGCCAATTGGCCGCAACAGCTGGAGCTGTGCCAATCCAAAGTCAGGAGCCAGGAGCTTCTTCTGGGTCTCCCACGTGGGTGCAGGGGCCCAAGGACTTGGCCCATCTTCCACTGCTTTCCCAGGCCACAGCAGAGAGCTGGGTCAGAAGTGGAGCAGCCGGGATTCAAACTGGTGCCCACATGGGTTGCTGGCGCTGCAGGCCAGGGCTTTAACCTGCTGTGCCACAGCGCTGGCCCCTGTCCCTGTTCTGTCTCGACATCTGCAGGGATGTTTCCCACAAAGCGCTTCTGCTGCCTGGGACAGATCAGCCCCACGTGCCCACGAGAGTTCCCAGGTTCCCGCCTTCTTTGGACCCTGGATCTCCTAAAGTGCATCTCTGGGACCAAACGCCCTCCACTCCTGCAGCGTCTGACTCTGGAGGAGGGGCTCCTTGGCTTGCGTTCCAGCTTCCTGCTCGTGCGCACCCTGGGAGGGGCGACGGCTCACACACTGGGGAGGGACCCTGCCACCCACATGGGAGACTCCTACGGAGTCCTGGGCTTCTGGCTTCAGCCTGGCCCAGCCGTGGCTGCTGCAGCCATCTGGGGACTGAGCCAGTGGATGGAAGCTCCCTCTCTGGCTCTGGCTCTGTCTTTCTATACCTTTCAAATAAAATAAAAATAAAGTAATAAAAAGAAAGGAAAAAAATACCACCAGCCAACAAGAAGAGAGCAGCACGCCCACCCCCTCCAGTGGCGACAACGCGGGGAGCTGCACGTGCGGGCAGGGACCGAAAATGGCAGGGCTGGGCGGGGAGCCTGGCTGTCCTGAGAGCAACACCCAGCTGACCGCGGCCAGCCTACTCCTGCCCAGGAGAGAGGCGAGCACACGGCACAGCAGAGCA